GTCTGTCCCCCTATAAACCTATTCACTCACAAATCGCCGGTACCGCGCTCACTCCGTGTGGCACGCAATTCAGTCCAAAAAGGAAACTCACTGAGATACAGGAGTAAATAGCAAAACATTTTCCCTTCTAAAGCAGGCGGGCGCCATTTAGCGCCCCCCCTCCTACTACGTTCTAGTTAGGGGACTAAGGTAATACACCGGAAGACCGGACAGAATGCGGTCGTTGTCGACGTCGTATTGGCGTTTCATTCTCTATCTCTCGCGGCACATAAATTCCGGCCTGTAGATTTCACACGACTTGATATTACACCAGGGATGCTCGCCAGACAACCACAGGAAGGGGCCTCTGGCATCTTGGCTCTTAGCATCAAGGATCAAATTATCTCGAACACTATCCTAGCCACGACTTCTAGGACGTCCACGTGCGTGGTAAACTGGCTAGACAAGGTGAACGTAAAAGGAGATCGAACCACCCCTCCCGTTCTTATCAAGAGCGATACGATCAAGACTTCACCAGGACACTTCTCAGAGAACGCGTTGCTCTCTAGTATGTACGAAGGCTCAACGTTCCCCATTGTGGGATAGTTGTTGCCTACAGAAGCTTAAAGACAACAGGAACTCTAGATTACTTCTGATGAGAACTAAAGCACCCAAATAATTACGGCTGACTGTTCATAAGAAAAGGAAAACTCCCTACAAAAACTGAAAACGCCATCTCTTTGCAGCGATGTTGGCTGAAAAACGCAATTACCCGCAATCAATCAAAAGAACCTACGAGAATTCGTAAGGAGGCCTTTTGTGTATTTAAGGATGGAGGCAGGATGAGAACTGGTGGGATCATCAGGCGGCAGTGGAGGTGGAAGATGCGAAGTTTCAAGTCTGGGAACTGCCATCGCAACTCCTCGATACTTGCAGCGGTTCTCTCGAGTTCTCGTTGACTAAAGTCAAGATAAGACGTGATTCAAGTGTTAAAACGTTGGCATCAAATCTCCGTTATGAAAATTCGTGAAAAATACGTGTAATTCAGGTTCGATACCCCCATTCTCCACCCCCCAAAAAAACACAGAAGTCTGAATAAACGTTGAGTTCTCAGCAGACACGCGTCATCATCGGCAGAATGTTCTCGAATGGAGAAAATCGGAAAACATAAATTACGAAGAACGGCAACCTGGACGTGTGCCACGGAACTATTGATGCCGAACGGACATTATAATGCTGCAATGCTGCTGCTGCTGCCTCAGTTCGCCGATCAAAGGAAGTATAATTATAATTTGGCTTCCGACTATAATCTAATTTCTTAGCCCACAGTCAGGCGGTGGCCTGCGAGAAAATTTTTTATTCCTGCCAACAGTCCAGATCTCAATCCTGGCGAAAATCTCCTTGCGTTAATCAAGAGACACCAGAGAAGGGCAATAAAACATATTGCAATAGAGCAGAAGTTGGAGTTAACCCTTAAGGATTATATAGATCAAATCGTCATTGGCCGATTTATCACAATCCCTCGTATTTCACGTAAAATTTAAAAAAAAACTTTTATATTGCAACGTGCATGGAAACAAATACGACGTTTAACACCTACTTTTCCCTCAAATAAACCGAACTAAACTGAACAACATAGTAGTCTCTATGCCCTCCGACGTACAGCAGTTTTGCATGTCAAAGGACAATCAATCAAATGCTAGTATGTTTTATTCTTATTGTTTTTCATTATTTTGTCATTGGTTCTTATTTTCTCTCGTTACTATCAGTTATATAAGGCCTTAAGTAATCGACCTGTCATACAGTCGTTTTTTTGATTTGATGTTTGTCGATAAAATAAATCATAGTAGATTCCCGAAACCATAAAATCTCATGAAGTTTATAAGAAATTCCCTTTACGCTGCGTCCTTCAAAGTTTTACATCAGTAAGGAAGCGATCGTTTTTTAAAGGCATATGGCGATTGATAAATTAACATTACTTTGTTCAGAAATATCAACTTTTCTAGAAAAACGCAGCATTCTGAATGAATTACAAAAAGTGGGATTACTAACCAAACTTAATTTTTCAATGTGGAGAAAGTCTGTGCATGCAAAAGCCGAGTGAATAAAGCGGTACAAGTAGAATTACGTCTATAAATAATCCTTACGAGAAAAGTTCGGATGCAAATGCTTCCATATTACGTGTAATGTAAAGTACCAAACAGCCGTTACAGCCGTTACCAAACAGCCCGAAGGTAGCGAAGGTATTCCAATATGGTTTCCCGAAAATTGCTAGTTGCTCCTTCCATTTATACATTGTTCGAGGTACGATTGACTAGGACAACAGAGTTTCGCTTGGCCGACTGGAAAGTTACATAAGTGAAATATTTCATAAGCTCACATGTTCGAATATATATGCCGTCTAATACAGACTTCCTAAGATTGCTTTTGAAGAAGGCCGTTTTGTCCAAATCTATTCCAACATCTTGTCTGTGTCATGATGCTCCTGCATAGCAGTGGAACAGGAATTACGGAAATCATCCCACGACTAATGCTTAGCGAGGTATTTTGGCATCCTATCTAAATATTAAAAGACAGCTTATGTCTTCATAAAAATATGGATTTCTGTGTGCCAGAATGCCCGGATAGTGCACCGTTAGATAGATAACTCGAAAGGTATCCTTAACAACACCTGTAGTGATCCGACACTCGAAACTGCATTTTAGAAAGCATACCGAACTGAATGACCTACTGACTGACTAGAAAGAGTCGTTTCGCGCAGCCTCTATTAAAATATCCAAAAATCAGAATGTTTGGCGTCACCAAAAGCGAGATC